GATGATGGTACTGGTAGTAGCAATCCAATACAATATCAGGTTCGAGAAGGCTGAAAAATATGTGGCAGCAGAGCAGTATCTGAGAGTGTTTTGTCGTTCATTTCTCAACAGTCATCTTTTTAAAAAACACATTTTTTCTTCTGTTGCAGGATAATTCTGAAGCATTAACTTGGGAGAAACGCACCAGAATATCTTTGGGATTAATTAAAGCCATTCAGCATTTACATCAGTTTGGAATTATTCATGGAAATATAAAAAGGTGGGAATCCTATTATATGCATCCTACTGTATTATATATTATTTAATGAACTACTTAAACTTCTATCTGATTAAAAGTGTTGCGTTTTCATAAAAAAGGAGTATAGCTAAACAATATCAGCACAGTGCTGGCAATTAGCTGTGCTTTCATTCATGATCCTTCCTAGCAACTTTATATTCAATAAATATTAACACAGGATGTAACTGACTCATAAAGTACTTCCTCCTACATAGATGCACGCTGTCGCACACACAAACACACAGCTGGCTTGGCTTTCATGACTAAAAAAAGGGGGAAGCAAAACCTACCTTCAATACTTCAAGGCAAACTTAAGTTTAGAAGTAATCCAGTGTGTCAGACAAATCCTCAAGAATACAAAATTCTTAGTAAAAAATGTGCTGTAATCATTTCTTACCTGCTGAATCTACAGTGCCCATTTGCAGCTGTCCCCTCAACTGGCTTTGGTTTTCTTTCCCTTGTCATAAGTAGGATCAACGAGGGCAGAATAACCAGAAGAGAGCACTTGAAGGAAAAAAATTAGAATGCACCCTCTGTTCTTTTATTCATTTATTCTGCTTAATACACAGCCTAATTATCTCCAGATGTATAGAATTGCCTTTGGTGAGATGGGCAGCATACAAATTTGATAAATAAAAAATAAATATGAATACATATTTTCTTAAGAAAGTCTTGTTTGCCCTAATTAAGAAATTGTCACGTAAATAAAATATTGCTAGCTGACAGTATTGGCATAATTTATATTTTACGGTACCTTCTTCACATTATGCTTTGTTAGAATTCAAATGTATGTACAGTATTAAAGATCTGAATTAACTGCCATTTCTATCAGCTTTCAAACCAGGTATTGGTCACACGTTTGTTTAACTGATGTTTATCAGTTAACAATGCTGTTTTGATTTGTTTAAGGTTATAATTCACATTCAAAGATCAATGTTGTAACTGATCTTTTGTTTGTATTTTTGTCTCCTGTACAAACAGTTCCAATGTTTTGCTAGATGCAAACTTTGTACCACAACTTGGACATTCTGGTCTTAGGCTGCATCCTGTGGAAAAGAAATCAGAATATACTGTGATAAAAACCAAGGTCTTGCAAGCTTCACTAGCTTATTTCCCAGAAGATTTCGTCAGACATGGGCAGTTAACTGAAAAAGTGGACATATTTGCTTGTGGAATTGTAAGTTGTGGTTCTTCATGACTAATCTTACATAACTCTGCATGCCAAGAATTGGACACGTTTTCCTTTAATTAAGCTTGCTATCTTACTTCCAGTGCTTAGACTAGTAAAATGTCAAAATGTTATTTCATAAAATTATGCTTGGAGATCAAAAAATGTATGAATAAACTCATTGTCCATGCCACAGCACTTTATTTACATGGCAGACATCATTTGTGCTATGTTGTGTCTTGGTGTCTTAAGGAAAAAAGAATTTTGGATTATAAGGCTAGGGAAGACTTCTACCTAAGATTGAAGAGAGCATAGGCAATATTGATCACTATAGACTTGGTTAAGAGCTGGCTTGTATCTGATAGAAAGATTTTCTTCTATGATAGGACTGGATTGCATCTAGATAGTGCCAGATGAACTGTATAGTCTGAGATCAGGATTCTCAGCTGTCCTTTATAATTTTTTAAAAAATTAATTGCAATCATTTTTCTAGATTTTAGCAGAAATACTGACTGGCATGAAAGCAGTGGATGAAAGAAGAAATCCTATTTTTCTGGTATGTAGAAAATATATTTTAGAAGATTTAAATCTTTGAAGAAAGACCCTGAGAGTGAGCATTCCTCAGACTGGAGAACGTAGTTTTTGGATCATTGTTATTTTATGCAGTTCAGTTGTTCCACATCTATATGAGAAGGATGTTTGAGGGTTCCTTCCTTCCTGTTACAATTTCCCTTCCTTTCCCTTCCTTTCCCTTCCTTTCTCTTCCCTTCCCCCACATAAGCAGATGTTGCTGGGGGAAGGAGAGAACAAAGGATTGCAAGAGTGGTTGGGCAACTGTCATGGAATGTTCAAAAATGAACCACAGCAGCAGCCTGGCAACAGCAGCCACAGCTTCCCAAAATTTCATTCCCTCAAGAGTCATGGATTCTGGATTTGGGGCACATTCTGCAATTTAGCTCATTTGAGGTACCTTTCCTCAAAAACTGTTGCTCTATGATACACCATTTTGCCCTGTTAAAATTTCAGGAACTATTTAGTAATATGTAGAAAACAGGACAATTACTTTCAGCTTCTTTATGTAAGTGAACCAAAAACTTAATAATTCTTTAAAGGACAGAGAAATAACATCATCTGCATTCTTCCAACCTTTTCTTCAACAGAAGGATGCCTTGCTTGAAGAACTCAGAATGGCAAAAGAATTGTCTTGTACTAAGGAGAAAAACTTTGAAAATCTTGCTGCCATACAAATATGTCACAAATACCAAGATAAGCAAACTGTTTGTTTGACAGAAACAGTCTCTTTATGCTTGGCCACGTCTATCTGCATTTGCCTGCGGAAAAAGAATGCAAACACGATAGAGGTAAACCTAATCAGCTTACTAGTGGTGATGCCTTTGCTATATAGTCCTTTTATTTTCTTTATTTTCTTTATTAATGTAAGAGAAAGTAAGTAAATATGGAAATAGGGAAATTGTTTTATTTAATGAGGAAAGTAGAAACAATCTATTTAACATTCTTGTCAAAAACAGGTGAGTGAAATGATAGAAATTGCAGATCGTCAAACAAGATCTCAGAACATGTCAGAAAGAAGCAGAAATCTTGGACTCTTCATCAATATTCCAGAAGAAACCAATGATGAACCAGCTAGTCCCTTCAATGTTGACTTCTATGGTCATAACCACAAAGGCTCTGCCAATTCTGGATCTCTAAACTGTGCCACT